CAGGTGGCGTGAGAATAGTCACGTGATCTTGCTGACGCAACAATATTTTATAAATATATCCTAAAGAATATTCATAAGATTACTTAAAAAATTGTTGAAATCTGTCATAAAACTTCAATAAAATCCTGCAATGCATATTTCAGACTAAGTAATGGCAATCTGATGAAATTTTTATCTCATTGTGATATTTTATAGTATTATAACATGTTTTGAGTGGCAGTAACCAGAACTTTGTTTTGAAGTCAATTTTAAACTTTTGAATAGATCTTAGGTTAATATTTTCCCCATTATATTAGCTTTTGCATGATAAGCATTATGACAGTTTATTTAGGAATTGCTGAATCTCTGTGCATATGTAAGTTTGCATGTGTTCTGTGAAACTAAACTTTAGTTCTGACTTTCTTAGGTAGATAAATTTATACTTTTATAGATCATATTAAATTATTTTTGAGATTTGAAATGAGGTCTTTCATATTAACTCCTACTTTTCTCTTTTTATCACTTGGCTAATCTAATTAAGTGTTCTTAATAAATAATGTTTTTAACTTGTGTGTTTGTTCTGTGTTTATCCTTTTCTCATTTTATCCAAGTAGTGTACATTGAGAACCATAGATTCAGTTAAACTGAGGATAATAACAAGTTTCTTTTTTTTTTCTAACCTGTAATATTCAACTTAAACATTGGTTTTTACATTTACAAGTTTTGTACATATTAGGTCATCTACTCATGTTTGGAAGACCATATATTATTGAAGATTTCATCTTTTTGTCTTCACAGTTAAATGGCTTGTATTGTAAGTCAGTAAATCTCATTTCTTCTGTAGAGGAATTTTTGTATGTCATGTAATTCTTATAACTACTTGTTATTTTTGCATTGATGAGCAAAGAACTCTTGTAATTTAAAAAAGTCATAGTATTACCTTTACAGTTAGAAGAACCACTTCTGGATGTAATCAGGGAAAAAATTGAAATACTGACTTCCAATGTAGACGATCCTGTTGCAGCTGAGTTAGAAACTCGCTTCCTAGAAGAAGCAGTGCGGGAGTTACTGCGAGCACGGCGTGTTCTCTGTGGTTCATATGTTTATGGATATTATCTCGAAGATAATGGCTATAACAAGACAATATTTGAATTCATGCAGGTAAAAATACAAATTGAAGTAGTAGCCAAATTTTTTTATCATCTTGATTTTTCTTGTTCTTTCTCATTTTTGAAATATACACATACAATAGTATATAGTCATACACTAGTAAGAATTAAAATGATGATAAAAAACATGTACTTCTGTTTGTGTGTATATTCTATGAACTAAAAATTTTAAATATGATAATTCTCTGAGAAATTAATGAAATAAAGAAAAACAAATCCACATGCTCTTACTCGCCTCTGCACCATAAAGAACTGTTACCTTGCACACGCTGTCTTTTATATTCCTGTGCATGCCATAAGCCTTAATAATTCTCCTGCCCTTGGATGTACTAACATATATCGTGCTATCCTATGATGTAACCATCATTATATTATAATCCTCCACCAGTAGGAAGGTGACACATACTCCACGTTCAATAATCACCATGAGCACTAGCATGTAAACACAGGCTCATTTTTCTGTTACACTGTTTCGTTCAGACGTTTTAAGAATTGATGGCATTTTTGCATTTATTATTTTAAGCTTTCATCACCATTCATAGTATAGCATTTCTTTTTTTTAATTTCCTTAAATATGACAAAGAAAGATATCAAATTTTAAACATTTCGATTAGAACATTTATTTGAATTATCTTCAATTTAATTTTTTCTTTTAATCAAATTTGTCCTACTCCCTATGATATAGTTTCTTTTACATCCCATTATTTTAATCTAGCATACACATTTCATTAAAGACCTTTTCGTGTCATCTTGATTACACATTCATGTTTCCTTGTTCCTGATATATCCCGAGATTCTAATACTCCTCAACAGAAGCCATGCAGTACTGTAATAGTGAATGGAGGTGCTCTGATGGTCAGTGATATTACTGCCATTGTTCATCAGGTGGTTGGTTTCGTTCTGATTGTAGGTCCAAAATTTCTGAACTCCTGCTTCCTTTACCTCTACTTAGCCTTCTCCATCTTTCAATGAGTTTCATCAATGTTGTTTTTGTTCTTGAGTTGGCTTCTAGTTCCCTCTTTGTGATAAGGATCTGGTAGTGGTTTACGTTATGTGTCTCTTCTTTTCTTATCAGTTGTTTTTTTTTTGCAGAATATTGGAGTACCTTATTGCATGAGCCTACATCACTTCAGTCTTTTTTTTTATTTTTGGAGATCTCCTTTTTTTTCTTCTCTCTCTCTCTCTCACTTTTTGTCTTCATTCTTTACTAACTCAACTTCTTCACTATCATCACCTTCACTTTACCTTGTTTTAATGGCTTTACATCAAGACCCTGTCAGCTTTACTGTAGAAATTGGCACATACCTGTTTTCCATCTAGCTTCTGGTTTTATCTTCCATTGTGTCTGAGTTAATTGTGTTTATATGCTTAGTCATAATACCTTACTTTCAGATATTTTCTTCTCATTAGTCTTGTCTCAGGGACCTACATTTGGAACCCTACCTTTGAGGTAATGTTTTTTGATATGCTCCTTACAATTTGGAAATTTCAATAAGTACACTTCCTCCTCTCTCAAGATTAGCTTTTCTCGTTTTGTGCTGCCCTCTATATGCGAACTTTTTCAGAAATGCATACCACAAGCCTTCATCTTCCCTCTGCTGGAACCCACAGTTCCAACATGTCTTACGTACAAATCATAATGTGTCACCTTTCCACCAGTAGGAGGCACTACTATCATGTGATGCAGGTTACTTCCTCTATGCACCACTACAGAACTATCACTTTTCATTTGGCAGCTTTCAAGTTCAGACGTTTTTTTTTACATCGTTCAGTTACCTTAAAGTGGTTTATTTTTTCATTTGCATTTTTTATATTTTTCTCATCTTTATTTACAACACTTCACAGTTGTGGAGTTAATATTTTAATAAAGTATTACTTCCTCACGTTTCTTGCTTATGAATTCTGAAGTTATAGTCACCACTTCTGGTACTTTGCCAGTGTCTGAGGTCGTATTTCAGTCACGTGATGCGGTTTTGGTGCAGACCCATCTCCAGGCTCCTTATCTGAGGGACCTCCACGTGGCTACGTTTTTGCAGTGTTATGTGCTTGACTCAGTTCCTGAGTCTTTGGAGTCGCAGAGGCCTCGGCCCATTAACATTCTACCCTTACTAACTTGGTAGCTCGTTTGTTGCAGCCAGGGCCGAGTCCAGCACTGATTCCTGTCCCCTAACCTTCCGAATCTCTTCCTGTCCCACCCTCCCATGGATCCCAGGGTCAACAACGCACAATCCTCTATTATCCAGTGTTCCCTTTCCTTCTCCTTGTGATCCCTTGACATACCAGCATCTGTCAGAGGCAGTTCAGGACCTCATGAAACAACAGGCTATCGAACCAGCTCACCAGGTTCATGGGGGTTTTACTCTCACCTGTTTGTGGTTCCCAAAAAGGCCAGGTACTATCCTCCTGTCATCAATTTATCCCTTCTCAATCACTATGTTCACACTCCATGCATTAGCATGAAGACATACTATTCTATGGTTTGTTTATCAGAGTTTGTGTACCAGTTTTGTGCCTTACCATTCAGCCTAGCCTCAGCAACATAGGTGTTTTGTCATGTGGTCCCCTCCTTTGCTCAACATATTCATGCTATGGGGTTACGCTTCCATATTTATATGGATGACTGGCTTCTTCTTTCTCGTTATTAATAGGAATCAACCTGTCACACTCATCAGCTCCTGGCTGAAGCTGCACAGGTGGGCTGGTTGGTCAAATTGGAGAAGTGTTTCCTTTGTCCTACCCACTACCTTATCTATTTGGGTGTTTTCTTCAACACCCGTCTCAGTCATGTCCAACTTTTTCCTCTCCATTCTATGGAATGGGCCATTTGGGCTTGCAAGGTTCTCATCACTTTTGGGGATGTGGTCCTCCACCACCCCACTCATACCCCTGGGTGGGCCGAAATGCAGTTTCTTCAATGGGTCCTTCATGATCAAGGAAACCTTGCCCGGGATCCCTTGGATACTTCTATATCCCTTCCCTCATCCCTTGTAGACAATCTCTATTGGTGGTTGAAAAGGGCCCATATGTCGATGGAAGTCCTGTCTCCTCCTCCGTAGCCAGATTTACATCTGTTCACAGATGCATCCCTTTACAGCTGCGGGGCTTGGGTGGATCACCAGGAGGTTTTGGGTCATTCATCTTTGGAGAAGAATTCTCTTCACATCAATGTTCTCGAACTCCTGGCTGTTCATCGATGCCTTTTGCCATTGGTCTCAATTACAAATTACCTCAGTTTTGGTCCTTGGTTCCCCATCCAGGAGCCTTGGCTGTCAGTGTCTTCAGCCAGGATTGGTCTCATCTGTTCCTTTATGTTTACCCTCCCATCTGTTTACTTCATCAGGTGGTCTCTCTCATTTATGCATGGTCCTTCTGATTGCTCCTTACTGGCCTTCTCAACCTTGGTTTCCTTGGTTGCTCCTACTACAGGTGGTTCCCCCCTTCCTCTACCCTTCTGCCCCTACCTGCTCTGTCAAACTCAGTCACTGGCATTCCATCCTTTGTCATTTGTCCTCCATCTTCATGCCTGGCTTTTGTCAGATCTTGGGCAAGGAGTTCTGGTTTCTCTAGCAGAATAGCTTCATATTTAGCCTGTTCAATTTGCCCTTTTTCTCTCAATGCAAGTGGAGCATTTATTACTCTTGGCAGTGACTCCAAGTTTTCAGACTTCTCATCCAGAGGGATTCTTCGATTTTTGTGGTTTGAGCAGCATTATCCCATACATTCTGTTTTTCCTGCTTCCACAGGTTTTTGCTTCCCCTATCCTTTCCATGTTGTTCTGTTTCTTCTGGTTCTATTGGCCACCGAAGGGTCACTTGCTCCCAGATTGGGACATTAATGTGGTTCTTCAAGCCCTCATTTTACCTGTGTCTATGTGTTCCCTGTTTCACCTCTCTTTGAAGGCATATTTCCTTCTCCTCCTGGCCTGCGGGTGTTGTAGGTCAGATATTTTTGCCCTTGACATTACCAGGACCTTGTACCACTCCTCCTACCTTATCCTTTATCCAGATCGTGCTTTCCTTCCAAAGACCTCTGAGGCTTGATACGGTAATTCCTTTTTTTACCCTATCTGCTTAGCCTCTATATCTCATCTCTACCCTCTTTCTTATCCAGATAGACTCCTTTATCCTGTCTGTGCCCTTTGTTGTTATATTGCTTGCTTGGCTTCCTTCCAGGGTCCTCCTTCCCCCCTTTTTATACCTTGGCAACCTTCTTCTTCCCATGATCTTTCCTAGTTACCTTGACCAATTGGGTTTGACATTTCATCCAGTAGGCCTATTCCTCCTTGTCTCCTTCGTGTTTCCTCACATCAAATCCATCACCTTACCTTCTCCCTTTTCTCTCAGCTTTGTCGGCCATTGGAATAGATTATATGATTGGGCATGTGGATGACTCTGCACACATTCATCTCCCACTACCTACACCACATTGCTGTTTCTGCTTCCTCTGGGTTTCGCCTGCTGTTTGTGGCTATTCTACAGACTTCGGCAAGGCCATGACATGAGATAAATCCTCACTAATGCTTTCTTTTCTTTCAGAGGCCCCTGCTTCAACTTCACTTTGGATCCCACTTTGTGGTGAGTGGTTCCTGACCAGGTATTCTGTCTATACTCAGAATGGGTTCTACTTAGATGGCTATGACTATTCGCAGACATCTTGATATGAAATCTGCACTGTAAGCCATGTTGATTCTTATACATTTTCCATGGCTATGTACACTCCTCCTTGAGATGAGGTGTTTTGCAAGATCACTAGAGTGTAAATTCCTCATGATAATTGCATCATAATATGCCCATCCCAGACCATACCACCTTTTGAGAGCATGGGTAAAGCAGAAGGGGATTGCTGACCATCCCTACCATGCTTGGGTTGAATAAATCGGTGTAGTTTGCACTATTTTGGGTGTTGCAGTTCCTCCAGACTCTCCACCATACTTTCCCCCCTTTCTTCCAGTGGAATCGGAAATCCTTACCACACACCAGTTTCACGCTGCTG